ACCGAAATAGTTCCCAAGGAAGCCAGAGGAAGAGTGTTTTTGTTTTCCTCTTTACCTTTAAGTGTTGCCAGGATTTTTTTTTTAATGATTGTGTGTTACTTGTTTAATTGGAGCAGGGAGAGGGGAAAGACAGCTTATTTTCATTTAGGGGAAAATAAACAACTTCTTTAGTCTAAAGGGTGAAAGAACTAGCATGCATGAGAAAAAAGGGACAGGTGTTAGAGATCCCAGCTCAGTGTATGCAGGTAAACTTTTCAACACTCAGAGCTGACAGAAAGGTGAGTTGCCGTGAGACACGCGTTCTCCATCACGGAGGTGTGTGAACACAGGCTGCACAGCCGTGTGGTGAGGTCGTCGCGGAAGTGATTCAGGAACCAGGGGTTTGACACTCTGCTGGAGATTCCTGGCAAATGACATGTTTGGCATCAGGTAGAAAGCTGAGCAGGGGGACTTCGAAGTCTTTCTGATTCTAAATCTGAAATCAAAGAAGACTGTATTTCAGTTTGTGACAAAGTGACCAAGCAGATGACCGCGTGTTAAAAGTTCCTGTGAAGTATGGCATTCTTTCAATACACTACAATACTAGCACCCTCAGAAGGAAAATTTAAAGTGACAGTGGTGGTGTCTGTCTACAGCTTATCATTGGTAAATAAATGAAGGAAAGAAGGAATTGATTCTGGACTCGCCACAATATAAAACCATGAAATACACACTTACGATGTTGTTTGGGGTCACAAAGTAGTATTCCTTAGCAGTATTCCTAAACCCTCCTGAACATCAGAACGAGAGGTTAAAAAAAAATTCTGTGTGTGTACATATACACACATGCACACGTGCATATATAAATACCTAGGTACACACACTCTGAGTAAGGTCTGGGAATCATTATGTATATACACACCCACATATATATGTATATATATAATTTAATTCTCAAGCTGTTCTGAGAATCAGCCGAGTTTAGACACCACCAGAATAAAATACACATACACACTTATCAGGGCAGTTCAGAAAAGGAGAAAGCAACATAAAGTCCATTGATGAAACACATCAAATGCTTTTGCGCTATTGACACTTAGAAAACTGCCTCCCTCAGAAGCCCATCAACATTCCACAGCTAAGTGATGCTAAAGCCACTTTTTTGAAGTTTCATTCAACGCATGAAGTAGAATTGCTTCAAAGGATGTTTTATTTAGACATTATGTAATCATGCTCACAAATACAATAAACAGTAGGAAAATTCATGTTAAAACACGTGTTTGTTCACAGACTATAAACAAAATGAAAATTCAGTTACATCAGCCACTATGTGACCCTGGTTCTGCTCCTAAATGAAATGTGCAGGAAGATAAGCTAAATTTACGGTAAACCTGCTGATCCTTAAGATGTAAGCAAGCTAGTATCCTCCTCATGGTCAGGTTCACAATAATACATAAATTGAAATATTTTTGGAATTTTGGATCTTCAACCGCATCTCCAAACGATGTGTTCAGGACAAGGAGGAAAATGAAGACAACCCACAGAAGCACCCATGAAAGTAGAACATCGGTTTTTGGTGTGAATATGAAGGTAACCTAGTGACTAAGTTCCTAAACCAACAAAGCAGTTGCCACCGAGTGACTCCAACTCACAGCAACCCTATAGGACAGAGTAGAACTGCCCCATAGGGCTTCCAAGGCTGTAAATTTTTATGGAAGCAGACTGCCACATCGTTCTCCTGCGGAGCAGCTGGTGGGTTCAAACTACTGTCTTTTTGGTTAGCAGCCAGCGCTTTAACCACTGTGCCACCAGGGCTTCTCCACATATATACATAAAAAAAAAAACCAGTTGCCAGTTGAGTCAACTCCAACTCATAATGACCCTACAGGGCAGAGTAGAACTGTCCCATAGGGTTTCCAAGGAGTGGAACTGCTGACCTTTTGGTTAGCAGCCGTAGCTCTTAACCACTTCGCCACCAAGACACCTTTATTCATACACACACGTGTATACACATATATATACATGTATATATACGTGTGTATATGTATGTATGTATATTTATATAACCCAAATGTTAAGTGCAGTTGGATTCTTTTAAAAACTCTGTTTTTATAAAGACCCTAGGGTGAACCCTTAGCCAGTGTTCTGGGGGAAAGACTGTGACTCTGGTACAGTCTAGGACACCTTTTCCCTGCATTGTTCAGGTTCTACCAGTTCTCTTCCGTGTGTCCCTTGTTGTCATGTCTCATGTCATTGTCACCATCCCTAGATGATCTTGTGTCACAGTCTGTATAAAACACCTTTTGGTTAGCAGCCGAGCACTTTAACCACTGCGCCATCAGGACTCCTAACTTCCTAAATAATTCTGACCCTGGTATAAATCACATTCGTCACATCTGGCATTCGTATGCTACTTTTGCTGTAGAAAATTTCAAGTTCTGTTCACCCTCAAGTGAACAGGTTCCTGCAGTGCAGGAGTTTGGGTTGCTGGAGTTGCAGGAGGTTTTCCAGACTGACTCCAGGCCCGTTGGCCATTCCATCAACCCCCAGGCCTGCTCCCGCCGGCTTTTGCACTGTCGTGTCCTGTCCTACCTGGAATGCTCTTCCCTCAGATAACCCAGACACCCCGCCTCCCTCCTTCAGGTCTTTGCGCAAACGTCAGTTTCCGAACGAAACCGACCGTCGTCGTTGTCTAGCGCCGCTGTCACAGAAATACACTAGTGGGTGGCTTGTCATCAGAGATTGAAACTAGTTTTTAGCTTAAATTCAACCAGTAAGTTTTACTCAATCATGTTAATGTTTGTAAGGTACCTCACTGCCAAACAAAGCATTTTAAAGCACACTGTGATGTCTGTACTCTCCTAAGAAAAATGAAATGCTGTTACATTTTTCAAGTAAGACAAAATAGAAGCTGCCGTCGTGACTTCTGTGTGAAGTAGCTAATACATGGTCTTTTGTAGTGCAGCCTCATTCATGCTGCCATTTGCCCACCCAGAGGCCAGGGAGCAGGTGGAATTGTTTGTATGTAAGAGTCTTGTTGTTAGGTGCCATGGAGTCTATTTCCAACTCATAGTGACCCCATGCGACGGTAGAAATGCCTGCCCCATAAGGTTTCCTAGGTTGTAATCTTCATGGGAGCAGATCACCAGGTCTTTCTGTCACGGAGCTGCTGGTGGGTTCAAACCACCAACCTTTCAATTAACAGTCAAGCGCTTAACCTTTGTGCCATCAGGACTCCTTGTGAGAGTCCTACAAGATGTGAAAAAACCTGGTGGGATATGTTCAGAGCTGTCATTGTGATCTGAGGTCAGGAAGTATAAGGTACAATTGATAAATACAGTAAATTCATAGGAAATTCTTTGATGTAGATTGGAGTCGTCCAGATCCATTTCCTGCAAAATGATAATATTCATGTGCTAGATTTCCCCTTTATGTTGTATTCCCTTCTCATTTTTCAGTTGTCTTAATGTTTCAGGTTATTGAATGGCACACTGCCTGAAGCATATACCCTCATGTTGAGACCATTCTCAGCTTTATCTAGTACCAACGAAAAAAGTGAGAATCTGTTGGGAATACAGTTTGCTTTACAAGTTAGGGTGAGTGGAGAGAACCATCTGGATCAGGATGATGAAATTGTGCAAGTATTGTAGGAAGCATTACCCTGCCTATTATTCAGTTTCTTGAGTGATAAAAACTCTATGAATCTTGACTCAGTAAAGCCTTGACGATATGGCTCTCTCTTCTAACAGATGAGCTGTGTCCAGTCTTAATGTGTTATCACTTGGATACAATTTTCCTGTTTATTTTCTTTGTAGATTGGAGATGCATTCTGCTGGGAAGGGGATAGAAGAGGATATGTTTATACAAAAAGCTTTTAAAATAATTGAAAATAAAAATAACAGCCTTAGCATATATTCATAATATTTCTTAGAACAAACATAAACAAGAGTATTAAACATGCAAAACAGTACCGTGTAGTTTGACGCCATGATCATCTACCGTACCGTGTGCCGCGTGGAGTAACCGTTACAGAGACCGTCATCACTAGAATCCAAGTAATTCAGGACCTTTTTTCTTTGTTCTTTTCTTATCATTTACTGGCTTTATTAGTTAAGTTTTTGCCAAACATATTTACTCATAGACATCTATTCTAGCAAGGAAGGAAGAGAAGAGATAACATCCAACAGAACTAGTAATTGAAATGTTTAATCCTTATCAGGCTGAAAGAACAGTAATTGTTTCTTTCTCTACTGGCTAATCTGTAAGAGTTTTATAAAGGAATAGAGCATTGCTGTATTGATGGTTTCCTATCCTTATGATTTCTAGTAGCTTTTTCCTTATTTAGGAACTTTTAGAACATGATCAGTTCCGCATACGTATAGACCATAGTAAAGTTGTTAGTTGCTTATTTACTCGTAGAGCTATTATGTGATCAGCTGTTACATTTTGAGTTACGTCTCTTAGAGTGAAAAAAAGGTTTAAATTAATTAATCTAATAGGATTTATGCTGAGATTCCAAGAATAATTTTCCAAGTATATCTAGAAAGGTAAATTGATTCTAAAGAATGTATGATTAATTAAAAATCTTTAGAAAAACCCATTAATTACCCACTATGAAAGCAGTGGGGTCGCGGGGTGGTACAAACAGTTAATGTGCTAGCCTGCTAACCAGAAGGTTAGTGATTCAAGTCCACCCAGAGGCACCTCGGAAGAAAGTCGTGGTGGTCTACTCCAAAAAAAAAAAAAAAAATCAGCCATTGAAAACCCCTAGTGGAGTACATTTCTAATCTGATATACATGGGGTCACCATGAATCGGAGTTGACTGAACAGCAACTTTTTTTCTGTTTTTTAAATAAAAGCAGCTTCTAAATGCCTGTAGGCAGATGGCAAGACAGGTGGAGTGAATCATTTTTCATGCCACTGAAGAATATCTTGTGGAATGTAGTGTAAAGAGAAATGTTGTACCATTTCGGCTGTGTACTGACTTCTACAACGTGTGTGTGTTTTGTTTAACCCCCAGGTATGAGAAAGTGCCGGTCATCTTGGTGGGAAACAAAGTGGACCTGGAAGGCGAGAGAGAGGTGCCATCCAGTGAAGGCAGAGCCCTCGCTGAAGAGTGGGGCTGCCCCTTTATGGAGACTTCTGCTAAGAGCAAAACGATGGTGGACGAACTGTTTGCGGAAATCGTCAGGCAGATGAACTATGCTGCGCAGCCTGACAAAGATGATCCATGCTGTTCTGCCTGTAACATACAATAGCATTTGAATGTGGCTGTCCTGGACAGGATTGGCCCGCTACTGTAGGCAACAGGAACCTCGTCTGCTCTTGGGCGGAGTTTGCAGGATGCGTGGTGGGAATCTGGAGTGAAATACCACCCCTGATTCAGAATTGAGCAGGGATGGTGAATTGATATCTCTGAGTGACGTTTGGGTGCAGTCACGACAGTTTTCACCACTGTCCTCCACCGCCTTTAAGCACCTGCAACCTTGAGGCATAGCCAATCGATCTACAGGGTGATCTCATTGGAAAGCTGTGAGGGCGCTGCCCTCAGCCGACAGAAGCAGCTAGTGCATAAATGAAACAATCCTGAGGGAGAAACCAGAAGAATTCCTACGGCCCTTGACGATTAAAATATTTTGTCTTCTTTAAAAAAAATAATAAGGAGAAATATTTTCCTACGTGAGTACTGAATTTCAGGAATTGGGAGAGTGCTTCTAACCCGTGTATTCTGTCCAGTAAGATAAAGAGAGCTGACGTGCCCACAGTGGTACAGGGAGAGATTCTTTGCTCAGCTGACACATTTCTGTTTTTCACAAGTGATGCTTAACTGTAGATGTGGTCCTAGTTTGTGATACGGGACTAACTCCTGCACCAATCCGTGATAGAGAAAGAGATCAGGACAGGTTGTGTGCAAATACAGCTGGCTTTAGAATGTGTTATGCCACCTGCTTTATCACAGGAAACAGAGGCACTCGGAGGGTTTGATCAGAATTACAAGCCCACACCGCCCGTCTGCTCACCAAGCAGGGAAGGGAAGGCCTTTATTACTTTGCTGAACAAGAAGGAAGCAACTGTGATGAAAGGAAATCGCCTAGCCTTACTAACAAGAAGCGTTCTAGTAGATTAGCTAGTACCATCACGTAAGGAAATGAAGCCATGTTGCATCCAGATGTTCCTGCTTGCAGACCCGTCACAGGACAGGACAGATATCTCGCATTTTTATGTCTATTAAAGCAGCAAAGTCCTTCTCGCCTCATGAAGGGCTATGGTTTCAAAATCAAGTTGGCTAGAGCAGAGCTTTAATGCAGGCATTTTAAAAATTGAATAACCACGTGAAATAATTTCAGTTTAAAAGTAGAACATAAATTATAGAGTGGAAGGTAAGGGACAAAAAGCCTTTTATCTTTGATTTTCCTGGAGAATTATATAAAGGTTTTCTTAATGACAGTTTTGCCCGGATTGCTGAAGTGGCCAACAAAGTGAGAGTGAATACTTGGTTTAGAAAAGGTGCTCAGGCTCTGACGTTTTTGATTTTCATAGCCGTGAAGTATTTATCATTTGCATGACTAATGGCACAGGAAATACCTATTCATAAGTTTTACAGTCAGGTGTAGAAGGGTTTCCAGCTAACTTCAGAGTTAAAAATGCTGAAGCGATTACCTGGAGCTGGACCTCTGGAGGGCAGTTTGGCCTTCAGAACTGCAATATCACTACTCCTGTGATCTCCATACCCCCCACATTTTCTTGTTTCACAGTCTCGTGCAAGTAACCTGTGGTCTTCTGCGTGTAGCTGAGAGAAGAGTGTGTGTTTGTACGTGCATGTGTGTGTATCGTTCTAGGAATTGGGCACAAGTCAGAGATAATTGCTTCTACTGAGTATCTGTATTGCAGAATATAGTGCATCAAAACCTTTTTTTTCTTTGAAATTATTTACGTATTGTTTATACATCATTGCAGTCATTTGTAGCCACCTGTTCAGTAGCTGGCATCCAACTTAGACGATAGAAAGAAGTTCGGTAGCTCATACTTTCCAGGGATGCGAGAGCGGAAGAGACGGTGGGTAAAACCAGGCTGTGGTAGTCAGAAGCCTTTGAATTGTGAATATTTACCTTCTTCAGTATAGTTGTTATCATTCTAATTAAGAAGCACCTCGTCTGTACATCAAAATGTTTTAACCAATTTTATTGAAACAAATTTCACTAGGTAAAAGTTGATTTGACTAAAAGAAATCAAAGATTCAAAAAGTATAATTTATCTATTGAAGAAGAAATATTTGTTAGTGAATTGGTTGAGTTTTGAAGCCTCAAATTTCTCTGAGTAATTCTGATTTTTAGAATTCCGTACTTCATAGCCATTTATGACAACTAAGATTGCACATTAGAATCATCTATAAAGATTCTACAGTTTTACATTATGGGTTCCTATTAAAAAAAAAAAAAAATCCAACTAAACCCATTGCTGCTGAGTCAGTTCCAACTCCTAGCGAACCCTATAGGACAGAGTAGAACTGCCCCAGAGGGCTTCCACGGAGCGGCTGGTGGATTCAAACTGCCAAGCTTTTGGTCAGCTGTCGGGCTCTTAACCACTGTGCCACCAGGGCTCCTGGGTCGCTATATAGACATTAAAATAAATTCAACAATAGAAAAGTATGGCAAAATGTAAGGTAGAAAAGATCATCTAAATTTTAGTTTTTAGTTAAAAATGTTAATGTCAGAACAAGAAGGTGGACTTCTGCTGCCGAAATGTTCGTAAGAACTGATTTGGCTACCTGAGCAGTGTGTCCACACAGCCCTGCCTAGTCAGTGACAGATCATCACAGAGCATTCAGAAAGCGTCAGTCCTCTTGTGCTTTATACTCAGCTTGAAGGAGTGAGATGTGTTTGTTGAGATGTTAATAAAAAGCTTAAGAACAGGAAGATTACATTTGTTGGCACATGAAATACTAATAGTGGCTGCAGAGGAAAGTTAGTGACCTTGGGTCGCTATTTATTTTATGCCCTGATCAGACTAGCAACTCTCTAAGTGAAAGTTTTTCTCACATGCCTTAAAAATATTATGGTTTGATCCAAAGACCCGCTTTTTCTTTAGCTGTTGTAACAAGATTTTTTGTTTTCTTTTTACTTTTATACAAAGGCAGCATTTTTTTTTTTTTAAAGTTTTCTCCTTTTAATGTTGCGACTTTTTGGTTCTTTTAAGCTGTGATAGTGATGGTAACTGACGCTTTTCAGTTTTGTTCAACTTAGTGAAACAAGCCAGCATCTGATCAAAAGTATTGCATAAAATATTTCTTCAACTATTGAAAGGTGCTTTGATGACTTTCTCCTTTCATATGTAGAATTAGAAATGAGCTTCTGACTCCATTTGCTACAGTTGCCATCACTTTTCTGTGGTAAAACTACTGATATTTGCTTTTCTACGTAAAGAAATGTGTACGGATGTCTGTTTTCAAGGGTTTTTTCTAGAGTGAATGTCGTCTGTGTACATGTGAATCTGAAAGTCTTCCGTTTTGTTTGTTGTTGTCTTCTCGTTTTCTTTCAAGTCTTGTTCTCAGTGGTTCTGTGTTGGCAGCGGATAAGCTTTAATGGTCTGTCTCCTTAGCCAATCACACGTTAAAGACTGGGGGGGTCTTGTTTTAATTTTTATGTGTCATTGTGCATCTGTTAAATCTCGATCAGGGTTTCAAGAATGACTGCAGTGGGTTTTAGAAACAGACTTATCATTATTGATTTGGGGTTTCCCAGAGATGAATATAGTTCACAGTTAATTGTTGAGCTCTAATACAACTGACCATTTAAAATTAAACAACAGCTTATTGTTTTGTAACAATGTCAGTTGTTAAACCTTGACATGTCAATTAAAACATGAATTGTAGTTAGAAGTCGATGCAAATTCAACAGTTGTATTTGGAGTTAAATTATTTTAACAAATAAATTTATTTAATGAAACTTCCCCTGGATTTTTTGTTTGTTTTGTACACGTTCATGAGTGAAATGTATTTATTAACATATATAAAAACAGCCAAAAATTGCTATAGAATGAATTTAGTGTTTCTCATACAGAAAGCTTTAAGCTGTATTAAGTTGAGAACTCACCATATAAAAAGGGAGGTTAGAGGATCATTTTTACATCTTTTAAAAATAAAAACATGAGAAAGGCTTTGAAATCTTTAATTATAAATTTAAACATAGCTCTGTAAATGATATTTTATGTTTGCTGATGGCTAGCTAATTTGAAGTCATGATGCCATCGTTAACACAGTTCTTCTAGATAATTACCATTAATTAGCATTTGCTTTATGGTTCTGCCAGTATCACTAAAATGTATCATTGTCCCTCTAGTGATGGCTTGGGGCTGCCTTTTTGTTTTCAGGTCATGTGGATCTTAAGGTGCCAGAAGCTGAAGGAAGGTTGCTGCTCTGGGGCTGTAGGGACTGCTTGTTCTATATGGGGCCCAGTGAATGTTGACAAATGCTGTGAATTGTACACAGCCTTCAGCTGCTCTGATAACTGAGCCCATTCATTCCCTAAGCCAATTTGAACTATGCCTTTTGGTTATGTTGCCTGCAAAGGCTGTTGAATTCCCCTGGCAACATTCCACCAGTTTAGAAGCTTCATTGTTTTACAATATAAGAATCATCTGAATGAATATAACAGAAGCACTGTAGACAGAATCTCAAATATTTAAAGGAAAACATACCTATATTTTAGTACAATAAATATCTGCTGATTAGCTATATACTCTCATTTGAAGTGTTGTATTTAAACCTGTAAAATTCTAATTTCAATTGGGAGAATTTCTCTTTGACTAAAAAAAATAGTGTTTTGAAATTCTCTCAAGTTACACTATGTATTAGAGGTCCGTGAATGAAAATAGAAATAGCTGAAGTAATAAGGTGCCATTCAATTGGGAAGCAAATGAAGTGACCACTGGGACCTGTGAAGCAGAGAAAATTGTCGCAAATTCCCTACAAAGCCTACTGACCTCTTAAATTTGGTTCTTAACGTAAAATGCCTAGATTACCATGTAAATAATTATGTAGTGGCATGTCATTTGTTAAATGGATAATTTAAAACTGTACAATATTAACTAAATGGTTTTTGTTCTTTTTTTTAAATTCAGGTATTGGGTGTTAAGAAATTTGCTGCTCTTCTCTGTATGGTGACATGTTATTTCTATATTTTCTTAGAACACTAGACTTTATGTTATCTTTTGAGGATTCCTACAGCCCTCCCAGACTTATTTGCTGGAGGAAAGACAGAGGACTACCTGCTTGAGAGATTAAAAACAAAGACCTGTTCAGTGTGCATGGATTAGGAAAAAAGAAACTGAAGGAATGACACTTGTTTTGACTTATGGGAATTTTTTTATTCCAATTTTAGAGACTAAGAAGTATCACAGATTTCATTGTTTTATCATACAGTTACAATTTTACACCGACAATATTTTGGGTATAATTTATTTTTTTACCTTAAAAAAATCAGATACTCATAAAAATACAAAGAAGAAAGTGAAACATCACTCCAAATTCCAAATCCCCAAAACAACCGTGATAACATTTGATGTAAATCATTTCAATGTCTTGCTATGCATATTTGTATATGCAGATACATACACACACTGTCTTAGGGTAGGTTCTCTAGAGAAGCAAAACCAGTGAAGTATGTGTATATATATATATATAGAGAGAGAGAGAGAGATTTATCTCAAAGAAATGGCTTATGCAGTTGTAGAGGCTGGCAAGTCCCCAGCCCATGGGTCAGGCATCAGGCTGGAGGCTTCTTCTGAATCATGTAGCCTCAGGGGCTGATGAACCCAAGATCAGCAGGTTAGATGGCAGGCTGCTGGCTCATGGGCTGCAGAGGCTGATGAATCCAAGATCAGTAGGCAATATGGCAGCTTGCTGGCTTAAGTCCCAAGAACCGGAGGTCAGATGATGATGAGCCGGATGCAGGATCCAGATTGAGCAAAAGCCAGCAAGCTTTGCCATAATATCCATGTATATATTGGATGCAGGCCATGCTCCCAAGGAAACTCCCCTTCAAACTGATTGGCTGATCACATCAGATCACATCATGGAGGATGTCTACACCATTACATAACTGCCAAGCCACTGAGAATCACGGCCTAACCAGGCTGACACACAACATTAACCATCACACATAGGTAGAAGGAAAAATAACTCAGTTTTACTTAAGAGAAGCTATGGCTCTTAGTACTAAAACTGACTCACTCAAGGTCACACACCTAATAAAGTGTCAGGGTTGAGGTGCAGACCCAAACTTCTAACTCTAAATCACTTTTTATCCATTTCTAATTTTTTTCACTTTGATGATATCCACTATTTCAAGGTTTCTTCAGCTATTATTTCTTGAGGGTTTCTCCTTTATCTGGCACTGTGCAGTACAGAGATGACCACACATAATCAATCCCTGATCTCAAGGACATCCTCAGCTTATCTCCTTTTCCTTTTTCTCTCAAGATAGATAAAAATTAACCTACTGGCAAGGAATAATTCATTTTGTACCTTAACCTGTTTTTATATGCCTGTATAGGGTCACTGGAAACCCTGGTGACATAGTAGTTAAGAATTCGGGTGCTAACCAAAAGGTTGACGGTTCAAATCCACTAGGTGCCCCTTGGAAACCCTATGGAGCAGTTCTACCCTGTCCTATAGGGTTGCTAGGAGTTGGAATCGACTTGATGGCAATGGGTTTGTTATTTCTCTAATAGGGTTGCCATGAGTTGGAATCGACTCAATAGCAACAGGTTTGGTTTTTGGTATACCAGTAGGAGCCCTGGTGGCGCAGTGGTTAAAATTCTTGGCTGCTAACTGAAAGATCAGCAGTTCGAACCCGCTAGCCACTCTGCAGGAGAAAGATGTGGCAGTCTGCTCCCGTAAAGATTTACAGCCTCGGAAACCCTATGGGGAAGTTCTGCTCTGTCTTATAGGGTCACTATGAGTTGGAATCAACGCGACGGCGGTGAGTTTGGTTTGGGTTTTTTTTTTTTGTATACCAGTATCCCTGCCAAAGTGCTCAGCACAACCCACAGAGGCTGCTGCTGGCTCCATCCTGGCCAGCTCGGCCAGCCTGAGTTACTCCATCCTGGGAGTTTACAGTGTCTGTGGGACGAGAGAGGACGTGTAGGAGTACAGCAGGACTCCAGGGCTCTGCTCTTACAGGATGTTCTGCTTCCTAAGGATGCGTTCAGGCCAACAGTAGGGTCTTGAGGGGCCAACTCCTGGAAGGTGGGAAGTGGAGCTTCTCAGCCAGTTCAGGAACAGTAGCAAAGCTGAGGGAGCATGGGGGTTCTATATATTGGATACTACACTGAAGAATAAATGCTGAGTCCACACCTACAGTTAAATACTGACTTTTTTCAGATTTTTGTGAGATTTTTAGTTAGAAACAT